AAAAAAGTAGATCAGAGACATATTTATAGTAATTATGCAGGCAAATTTGCCTGCAAATCTCTACCAATTAAAGGATAATGTTTATATTCTTGTTAGGCCACTTCAAGCAAAATTTTTGTTTAATATAGTATAAAATGCTTTATAAAAAAGAGATAAAAAAAAAATCAACAAAAAACACTATAATTTTACTAGTTGTAAAAAATTTAAAAAATTTAAAAAACTTAAAGCTATTAAAAAGCTTTTTGAAATTAGTTCTTGAGTTAACTTAGCAAGGACTTTTTGAAATTAACTTAAGTTTATTTTTAAATAAAGTTTTTACTTTTTGCATATTTTATGCACCTCTTATATAATTATGTATATTATATAAAATATATGAGATATGCATAAAATATAAAAAGGATGCATGAAATAAGCAGGGAGTGTATAAAATATATAACAGTTGCATAAAATATGCAAAAAAATACAAGGAATACATAAAAATATATAAGAAGTTTGCATTATATAATATATATAAGCTAAACTCAGAACTAACTTGAACTTAACTTGGTTCAACTTTTAAGTCAAATTGAGCAAAGTAGGACTTTTAACACTTCTAAAAAAACCAATACTGCAATTTATTTATTTATTTATTTTTCAGTATTAAAGATGACCTCTTTGCAATGGTGATTTATTATCATTAAGTTTTATTTCAGTATACAATAAGAGTACATATAGCCACATGTGCATCTTTTAAGTGTCAAATTTAAGTAGTATGCCCAAAGGTTCTACACTATCTGCCGTACCTTCACCCCAACTAGGGGGGGTACCCATTTAAACCCTCTGATCATATCTTTACTTCTACTATGTGGGACTTAAGACCCAGGTATAACCTCACCATGCGCATACCAGGGCGTCATGGGATCTATGCAACACCACTAGATTAACAGCCAGACTTAGGACAGGACCATATGTCCTGATTTATCCTCGAGGTAAACCTGCCAGAGTGGTACATTCCCATATATATATTCACCTAGACTTTAGTAACTTATGCCATGCCTTAATTCATGTACTTGGAGTCAGGGTGTAACTATTAAACCCCTACTATTACCTACTCCACCCTTTTAAGGTTCACAAATCTCTGTACTATATTTCATCACTTTCCCAATCCAAATAGCCTAAAAGGATTGGCCTGCCCAGATCCAAGTTTCCCAAGCTCAAGTCTGAAGATCTTCTGATCCTTGGTCTACAATTTTATAACATGTGACCTTTTCCTTCGAATAACCCGGCGGCCTGGTTGGTAGATCCCTCTTGCCCGTAAGATCTTTGTCGTACAACTTCTCCAATTTTTGGGGTCCAGTCGGATCTGTCCTGTAGTACACAAGTAACACCTGGTCAGAACAGTCTGCTACTTTTTTAATCGGGATTTGCCAAGCCAGTTTCCATTCTCTCAGGCTACCATAAGTAGGTTTTAATAAGATCGATCAGGATGCCTTATCATGGGTTTGCACTGCCTATACCAGTTTGTATTCCTTTGTGCAACAACACAAATGCATCCATGTCTCTCAGCACCAACTCAGGGCGTTGGTGTGCCCTGGTTTACAGATATATAATTCCAGCCCAATTTAGAAAAACTGTTATCATGAAACAAGTAAATTATTCGAAGCGTCATTAGTGGGATTCGAACTCAGTACTTGGCCAACAAACTTGGGGGTGTGACAACTCTACCACTTCGCTATGTCGCCACACCCTTAATACTGCAATTTAATTGGTTAATATTATGTATTATTTATATGTAAATTTTTAAAAATTAGAGAGAAGTTATATTAAATAAAACTCAGCCTGGTGTGGTCTTAGTAAAATTATATAAATTCTTAAAATTTTTTAGATAGCATAAAAATGGTTGTCTTTGTATATAAACTAATATATATATATATTAATCATTCTTGAGTATTATTAAAGCATTCTCTATAAAAAAAGTTCATCCAATAAATATTCTAAAATTGTTTAGTTGTATGTTCAATATTATGTTCAATTTTTGTTTAAAAAAATATTCAAAATGGAGTCGATTTTTTGAACAAATTTTTGAACAATAATTTGTAAAATTTTGTACATATATATGAATTTTTTATTTAATTTTTGACTTACTAATGTCATGGTATTGTACGATTAATATATTACAAGTTTGATTATGTTCAATATTTGTTTTAGCGTTATTGCATAATAATATATTTTTTATTTAATTTTTGTATAAATATTATATTATACACAATTGAAATTCTAATAAGCTATTGCTACAACGTTTACTTATGCATATATTATAAAATCACTATATTTTAGCTATTTACTAGATAATTGCTAGCGAAAATTTGATAAATGCATCTGCAGTACGGCTTCTAGTGGATAATCTAACCAAATTTCCGATGATTATATGAATCTATATATTTTTCTTTGCTTTTTGTACCAATAAAATTATAATTAGTTTCAATTTATTAAATATCAATTTAAATATCAATAAATATTTATAATTATTTTATACCATTAAGTTTCACTTTATTGGGCATTTTTAAAGATCGTCTTTTAGTTAATATATTACTTTCTTCAGTTTGTGTGGATGATCTACTTATGTGATATTACAGATTTATAGAATTATTTGTATTCATCGAAGTATTTTAAAATTTAATATATTATATACTTGGTAGTATGGTTACGTAGCTTGCGGTCTGAATTTTGGGACCTTCTATCAGATCTTAACGGTTCAATAGTATTATTTTGACTTATGTTTTGAATTCTGTGATTGATGTTTTGATGCTGAAGAGTATTTAACGGAGTACGGGATGAAGATGTCAAGTGAAAATGATTTGTATTACTTAGTGAGCTTGAGGTTTCAATAGCTGAGAATTGATCTTGATCGATAGTCTGAATAAAAAATAATAATAAAAAAAAAAACCAAAATTTAAAATTATTTTACATAAAATAACTTAATGCTTAGGTTATATACGGATTCTTCAAGAGTTTCATTTGATGTTGAATAAGTAGAAGCCTGAGAAGATGATTGTATAGAATCGTTCATTCCAACTAATAAATATTAATTTATAATAAAGAAACAAAGTTAAAATTATAGTAATTAATAATATTTTTTTTTACCTGTCTTTCTTTTTTTACCATTATGAGATAAATGAATTCTCTTATTGTGCCTTTCAATATCTCCTATTTAGATAATAAATCGATTAGTTTTATAATCTCTAATATCATGTAATCTTATATATATACATTTATTGTTAATTATTCCACGCATCATTCGTCTAATGGTTCAATCACAAGCAGTAGATAGAAACTTTGGATTTTTACGTTTAAACTAAATAAAAATTTATTTGATTATTTAAAAGCAATTAGAAAGAACATCGAAATAAATTATATTTGCCCTTTTAATAATTTCGTTTTTTTCATTCTCTGGTATTCTTCGAAACTCAAGAATTTCTTTTTCATATTTAGCTATCACTATTAAGCGAAGTGATTCCTAGAATAGTTGTTAACAGACAAAATAATAATAATAATAATTATAATAATAATAATAATTTTGTTACCCGATAACTATTGTATATAGCTTTGTCTAGCTAAAAGCTTTGGGAATATCAATATATGTTGTTTCATGTGGCTTTTCAATTGGAACTAACTTTTGTAGAACAATTTCTTTATAAATAATAGAGTATAATAATGATATTAGTTAAAAATTAAGAAATATATGTATAATAATAGAAACCTCTTTGTCAATGCTTTCTGATTCTAAACTAGATATATATTTATTATTTTTTTTGTGCTTTTTTTTTTTTAGTATTTTTGGTTTTGTTTTTTTTGGATATGTCATTATCAGTATTGTCAGAATTGGTAGCAAATTTTTGATTTTTTGTCTTCTTGTTGTAGGTAGTTTGAAGTTTTTCTAAAGTTTCCAATCGCTTAAGCAGTACTGAAATTTCATTTTTTGTTGAAAAATCATCATTATCAGTATCTGAATCTTGTATATTTCCATCAACTTCAACTTCTATTACAGACTGATTAGAGCTTTCTTCATCACTTCCATTATTGGCTTTTGGTTTACCCTTATTTGGTTGTTTGTTTTATTGATCTCTTTGTCACTTGTAGCTTTTCGTTTATTCTTATTCGATAATTTTTTTTTATAGACCATTGTAGTAATAATTTATCTTTGATTATAATGACTATAAAGACAACAATTTATTTTATATAAAAATAGTATGTTATACAATTTATTTTTAATTGTAACGACTATAAAGTTAATAATTTATTCTTTTATATAAAAAATAGTATGTTACATAATCAGATTTTAATTAGTAATAATGATATAATAATGTATGAACGTAATATATTATAAGCTTTAATTAGTAATAGTGAAGTAATAGTGAAGTAATAATGATATAAAATAAGAGTATAATTTTATTTATTCAATTTAATAAAAAATTACAAAAAAGTTTTTTAAAAAAAAAATAGATTTTTTTAAAAAAAATTAATACGATGTCTGAAATGCAGACTACACCAGGGCGTAGGATCGATTTTACTGTCACATGATTTCCGACGTCTATCAGCCAATTAAAATTCAAGATCATGTGTAACGTAAAAAAATCAAAACAAACGTTTGCTTTACAAAAAACACATTGATCTCGAAATTTAGTCTAGTAAACTATCTTTGAAGCTCTAATAAAAAAAATTTCTTGTGAAATTTTACTATACAACTGCTCTTCTAATCCTCCCAAACTCTAACCCGGGCATAAACAAAGATTTTTAGATTTGATGATATTTGTTTTCCGACTATCACATGACAGTAAAATCGACCCTATGCCCTGGCGTTGCCCTGAGATACAGGTTTGGTGTACTTGTCAAATATGTTCATTAAATGAATATAGTAGATTATTAGTATCAAAAAGTGCCAGAATTCAGCATAGACAACGTGATAGATGAAATAATCGAAGTCCTAGTAATAATTCAATACTTCAAGATGATATTCAAAGTTCACTTATAAATACATCTCCATGTGTTTTTGATCAAGAATTGACAACATTTAATCTAGATCGGAGAAAAGCTCAAACTATTAAAGATAGCTTAGAAACAGATAATGAATTCAATAATTGTTTAGAAAGAGATAAGAATGATTTAGAAAGCGATAATGAATTTACAGACTAGCCAAATAATAATAAATTTGAAAATTGCTTAGAAAGTAATAATAAATTTGTAAATGAATTATGAGGTAGTAATAATATTGAAAATAGATTAAAAAGTTGTGACAAACTTGAAAATGAGTTAGAAAGAGATGAATTTGAAAATGAAATAGAAAGTAATAATAGATTTGAAAATAGATTAGAAAGTTGTGACAGACTTGAAGATGAGTCAGAAAGCGATGAATTTGAAAATGAAATAGAAAGTAATAATGAATTTGAAAATGAGTTAAAATGAGATAGTGAATTTGAAGAAGAATCAAAAAGTGATAATAATAATTCACTTACATCTAATATGACTTCTACAACAGAAAATGAAGGTAATAACTAAACTATAATTTTTTTTTTTTTTTTTTTTTTTTTTTTAATGTTATATATTTTTTATTTAACTATTAGAAAGTATACCTTTTATATCTTCTGAGATTGCTATTCTAATCTGACTTTTTAAAGTTAAAGTACAAAGTAACCTTTTTAATGAAGCTTTTAATAAAATTATGAAGGCTGCTATTACAAAACCAAAAAGCTTATACTTAATTAAAAAAACATTATTATCATTAATTCAATTTAAGCCTAAATGGATAGACATGTGTATCATTAGCTGTTGTGCCTATACAAATAATTTTAAAAACTTAAAAGAATGCCTATTTTGTAAAGAAAAGCGTTACCAAGATCAATTTTAAAAAAACAAACCACGTCAACAATTTGCTTATTTTTCAATTATTGATCATCTAATTATTCAATATCAAGATATAATACAAGCAAAGAATTTATTATATCATTCTGAATATGTTGCAAAATCTAAATATTATTCTAATGAAAGTATTGGAGACATATTTGATAGTCAGTGCTATAAAGACCTAGTAGAGAAAGGTTATTTTAAATCTAAATATGATGTTGCATTATTAGCATCAATCGATGGATTTCAAATTTTTAAGCAAAAAACAGATGATTGCTGGATTTTATTATTTATTAATGCAAACTTACCACCAGAACAACGTGTAAAAAAAGAAAACCTCTTAATTTCTACAGTTATACCTGGTCCTAAGGAATCTAAAGACTTAAATTCATTCTTATTTTCAGCTATTTCTAAATTACATAAATTGGAAAAAGGAATAGAATGTTCAAATGTTGATTATAATGATAAATTTATTTTACATGGTTGTGTATTATCATGGTCTGGTGATACACCTGCACTTACAAAGTTAATGGGTCTTACAAGTCATAACTCATATAGTGGATGCTGTTATTGTAATTTAGTTGGTACTTATTCTTCACATATATACTATCCTACTCAACCACCTAAAGAAAAAAATAGTAAAATTTATGATCTATCAACTTACCTCTTAGAACTCATAATACACAAACAAAGTTAGAACAAAATCAAATAATAAAATGTTATAGTATTTCTAAAAGAAGTATCTTATTTGATCTTAATACTACCAATTTTCCAAAAACATTTCCTGTAGATATTATGTACTTGTTTTATGAAAACATTGCTGGTTATATGCTTAATCACTGGATGGGATCTTTTTTTATAAATTCAAATCTAAATAATAGTGAATATGTTTTAAGTAAAGAAACATGGGATAAAATTGAAAAAGAAATGCATCAAGTTCGAAAAGCTATTCCATCAAATCTAGGTAGACCATTGAGAAATATTGTTTTGCATTGTAATGGTTATAAAGCTGAAGAATAGTCTTTCTGGATTATAATGTATTTATTACTATTTCTTAAAAACCATTTGTCCAAAAAATATTATGAAGGCTGGGGTTTATTTGTAAAAGCTGTTCACTTATATCAAAAACAAACTATAACATATGGGGGTGAGTCAATAGAAATCAAGCAAATTTTTTATAATAAAATTTTTTTATAACTTTAAACAAGAATAA